AGTTTAAGCCCTTTAACTATTCATTTTGTTCTAAAAAGTCAGCCTTTCGCATGCTTAATTAATGCCTTTACCTAATTTGCATATTGCTGATATATGCAAATTAGGCAAATGCATTAATTAAGCTGATTTTTCGGGAAAATTGTAACTTTGCGTGAATAGTTAAGGGGCTTAAACTAAACCAAATTGTTTGAAATTTTGTACAGTAATTAAAATCCCGACAAATTTTCCATCTGTTAACTCAAAATATGATTGCAGCTTTTAAATTTTGTGCGCGAGCCATTTTTAGTTTGTTGGAAAAGACACACCCCCTGGTTCACAAAATTTGAGTTCGAGAAATTTTTCTCATTATTCTACATTATAAGTACCCAAAGAGGCCATATATATAAAAAAAACGGATACAAATAGCTGTTTTGCGAAATTGAGAGCAATTTTAAATCTGTTCAGTTTTTTTTGATACACCCTGTATATATATACGTATATATACGTATTGTGTATACGAAACGGAATGAGTGCTCAATATCATAAAGATAGAGCAAATGTACTATACTATAGTTCTGCAAGTGTAACGGAGTGTACAATTACACAACTTATAACATAACACTTGCAGAACTAGTATTGTTCGATGCTGAATTAATATAAACGAGTATGTTTATGACATTCAGTATATATTTCATAATTTCCAGTCTTAAATCCGTCTGACCGTGTAACTCAGTTGGTAGAGCGTCGATCTAGTAATTCGAAGGTCGCGGGTTCAAGACCCAGCCGCGGCAGACAACACATCTTTCTGCTTGCGCTGGGTATGGAAATTATATAATACATTTCATCTTAATATATATATATATATATATATATATATATATATATATATATATATATATATATATATATATATATATATATATATATATATATACTGCAATCATATTTTGAGATAACAGATGGAAAATTTGTCCGGATTTTAATTACTGTACACAATTTCAGACAATTTGGTTTAGTTTAAGCCCCTTAACTATTCACGCAAAGTTACAATTTTCCCGAAAAATCAGCTATTTGCATGCTTAATTAATGCATTTGCCTAATTTGCATATGTCAGCAATATGCAAATTAGGTAAAGGCATTAATTACGCATGCGAAAGGCTGACTTTTTAGAACAAAATGAATAGTTAAAGGGCTTAAACTAAACCAAATTGTCTGAAATTTTGTACAGTAATTAAAAACCCGACAAGTTTTCAATCTATTAACTCAAAATATGATTACAGCTTTTAAATTTTGTGCGCGAGCCATTTTTAATTTGTTGGGAAAGACACACCTCCCTGGTTCACAAAATTTGAGTTCGAGAAATTTTTTTCATTATTTTACATTATAAGTACCCAAAGAAGCTATATATATAAAAAAACAGCTACAAATAGGTGTTTTGCGAAATTGAGAGCAATTTCAAATCTGTTCAGTTTTTTTTTATACACCCTGTATATATATAAATTAAGGTACAACAAATCAACAAAATCCACTAGGCATCTTTATTACTAAATAGTTTCGTACCACAGTATGTGGCACTCTTCAGATAAATTGACCTAAGATCAATTTATCTGAAGAGTGCCACATACTGTGGTACGAAACTATTTAGTAATAAAGATGCCTAGTGGATTTTGTTGATTTGTTGTACCTTAATTTAAATATGCTCTGGTTTTCCATTGAGCACTTTGCCAAAAGTTTTTATAGCCAACAAAACCAAACTTTATATATATATATATATATATATATATATATATATATATATATATATATATATATATATATATATATATATATAGATTGTACTATTACGCTCCTTCACTTCGGTGTTGTAGAGCACTCTGTGGAGTTAATTGGGTGTCCATTAGCAATAATGCAAAGCTCACTTCCCTCGTGGTTGTTTGAGCACTCTGGCCCCATGTCACTCTGCGCATGTCTGGATGCGTTAATGGCTCGTGTTGTACCACATGCGCTTGGGAGAGCAAGTGTCATGTATATTAATACGAAGGTCATTGCGTGTCTAGATGTGAATACGAAGGTCATTGCGTACCAAAGCTGCACTGATGAGGCGTAGGACGCCGAAACATGCATGTCTGCAGATTGTACTATATATATATATATATATATATATATATATATATATATATATATATATATATATATATATATATATATATATATATATATATATATATATATATATATATATATATATATATATATATATATATATATATATAGTACAATCTGCAGACATGCATGTTTCGGCGTTCTACGCCACGTCAGTGCAGCTTGGTACACGTCTAGATACGTGAGACACTCGTATTTATATCCCATGAGACACTCGTATTTATATCCCACGTGAGACACTCGTATTTATATCCCACGGTGACTCAACGCACCCAGACATGCGCAGAGCGTAATGGGGACAGAGTGCTCAAACGACCACAAGGGGAGTGAGCTTTGCATTATCGCTAATAGACACCCATTACAACTCCGCAGATATATATATATATATATATATATATATATATATATATATATATATATATATATATATATATACTCACTATATATATATATATATATATATATATATATATATATATATATATATATATATATATATATATATATGATAATGCCATATATAGTGAGTATACTCACTATATATATATATATATATATATATATATATATATATATATATATATATATATATATATATATATATATATATATATATATATATATATACAGATATATATATATATATTTAAAGATTTGTAATCCAGGCATATTATAATTAATTAAAGTTCTCCGGATTGAAATATACTTTTATTGAGCTTTCGACTCGGTACTTCGGTACTTACATATGTACATTATTTAATTAAAGTTTTGCGGTGCTGCTACGTTGAACACCGTAGCAACACCGCAAAAATATATAAGGATATACTTTGTACTTTTTAAAGTAAAAATTCAATATATATAATTCGATGCCGATGTAATCCAATGGTATTTTCCAGTGTTATGAATCTGTATTCCTTCACCCTGTGTGTTCACGAACGAAGTTTGGGATAAGATGGTGTCCTGTAAGCCACTGATATGTGGAAACTTTTTCTTTAATAGTTTTTGCGCAGCGTTCATGTGACGATCATTCAGCATTCTTTGAGATTTTAGTATCGCCTTATCTTCGTTCTTTAAACTGAGTTCTTTGATCCAATATTCGCCAGACGTTTCTTTAATCATGAAGGAGAAAAAACATACAAGTCCAAATTAAAGACACGTATAGCACATTAATGCTATATCGGACCCATGTAACGAAAGGCTGAACTGAAAATGAATCACTTTAACTTTAACTTTAATAATAACATATTTTATTGCATAATAACATATAAAATTGCAGAAAAATAATCTCGTACAATAGTGTCTCACCAAGACTAAAACAAACCATATACTTCAATAATATAAGATATAATAAAGTTATACTCCTAATTCCGTGGTATTGCTTATAATTATACATTAATTAGTCATTGTCTGCACTTTACTCGCTTTAAACTCTGCTTCTCAACTCTCATTCGCGTTTGATCAAGGCTTAAGACTGCATGACCCGTCCCTAATATAGCGAGAGTTTGTATGCATCATGCCTGTGGGATTTTCTCAACTCTCGTGCATAATTATAACGCGCGTAGCAAAAGCTCTCATCAGCTGGGCGCTGTAAAATGCTTTGTGTTAGAACAGGGTACTCGACATCAACTCTCATGTCTTCAGACTCGTTTGCTTTTGTTGCAAAGTCATCGTAAAACTCTCTATCAACACTTGCGACAGTTTCGTAACCTAAATATATCATTGTATCAATAAACATATATCATCCGTCTTAATATGGCGAGAGTTTGCATGGAATTTTTCTCAACTGTATAGTGACAGCTGAACACTGATGAGAGTTAACTGGATATTACCAAGCACAACAAAAACTCTCATGAACTCTACTCAAAATTAGAACCAGATGAACACTGATGAGAGTTAACTGGATATTACCAAGCACAACAAAACCTCTCATGAACTCTACTCAAAATTAGAACCAGATGAACATTGATGAGAGTTAACTGGATATTACCAAGCACAACAAAACCTCTCATGAACTCTACACAAAATTAGAACCAGATGAACACTGATGAGAGTTAACTGGATATTACCAAGCGCAACAACTGAACTCTCATGAACTCTACTCAAAATTTGAACCAGCTCAACACTGATGAGAGTTAACTGGATATTACCAAGCGCAACAAAAACTCTCAAGAACTCTACTCAAAATTAGAACCGGATGAACACTGATGATAGTTAACTGGATATTATCAAGCACAACAAAAACTCTCATGAACTCTACTCAAAATTAGAACCGGATAAACACTGATGAGAGTTAACTGGATATTACCAAGCGCAACAAAAACTCTCAAGAACTCTACTCAAAATTAGAACCAGATGAACACTGATGATAGTTAACTGGATATTACCAAGCGCAACAAAAACTCTCATGAACTCTACTCAAATTTTGAACCAGATGAACACTGATGAGAGTTAACTGGATATTACCAAGCGCAACAAAAACTCTCATGAACTCTACTCAAAATTAGAACCAGATGAACACTGATGAGAGTTAATTGGATATTACCAAGCGTAACGAAAACTCTCATGAACTCTACTCAATTGAATTTTGAACCAGCTCAAAGTTGATTAAAATTTATGAGAGTGCACGAGAGTTGACGAGAGTTGGCGGAAAAACACGAGCGAGAGTTTCAACCTTTATTACCTCTTACAAACTTTCATCCTCGTTCTACAATGAAAACAATTATCAAGACAGGTTTCTTTTCAACTCGGTTGCTCATGTTGTAAATAGTACCTAATATACATATTTAGATTTAGATATCAATATCTAATCTGTGATATTACTGCCCTTCAGATGATATGTCTTCAGACGCGTTTGCATTTGTGGCGACGTCATCGTAAAACTCTCGATGTTCATTTTCGACTGATGTTTCGTACGCAAACGTCTGATGTTCATTTTCGACTGATGTTTCGTACCCAGACGTCTTGTCTGCATTTGATAGAACTCCTGTCCAGTTGTGAAGTGATGCCTGACCTTTAATTAAACAAAAGACGATTACAAATCTCCCTGGTCAAACGAGAACAAGAGGTACTGACAGTTGACGAGATTTGACCTGATATTAACGCGCGCAGCAAAAACTCTCATCAAAATTTGAAATTCAAAGTTGAAAATTTGGTGGTCAAACACGAGCGAAAGTTTCAACCTTTATTACCTCTTACCAACTCTCATCCTCGTTCTTTACTACTTCTCAGTGAAAACATTTATCAAGATTGATTTCTTTTCAACCAAGATATATTATTACATTTCTTCTTAGAATGAGCAAATAATTTACATACCAAAGTTAGTATAATTTTTTATACTAATTCTTATACGCTTATTACCACAGGTTAGATATTAATATCTATAATCTGTGATATTACTGACCTTCAGCTGATATGTCTTCAGACTCGTTTGCATTTGTGGCAACGTCTTCGTAAAACCCTTGATCAACGTTCGGAACAGTTTCGTAAACTGCCTCCTGTTTTTTGATAAGAATGATTGATTTATTTAATGACGATTACACACAGCGTGTGGTTGCCCAACTCACCCGAGTCAGAGGCACACGATACATGCACGTGCTTGACAACTAATTTCTAAGAGTTGGATTTTTATGATAGAGAAAAACTGGAGACAGAAAAACCCTCGAAGTTCAAGTACAAACTAAAGTAAATTTACTTATACTAGATAGCTCTATCAATTCTAGAGGTTCAGTGAGCCCATCTCTTATTCCTCCAGTGCTACTACAAGAAGAAACCTAAACTAAAACTATTTATATTGGATAACTTTATCAGCTCAATCTGTTCTTCCCGGAATCCCATATGTAATACCATTCACTGTATCACCAACACCATGACCATAAATAATTTACTTCATCAACTGGCAATGGTTGTAGTGAAATTTCATTCACCTCCAATGGAATATTGACAGGAATTGATAATTTTGAAGCCCGCTTCAATCGTTTGTATTTTATCAATAAGACGATAAGTGTGATGCCAAGGAATACCCCAGCACCCACTGTTGTCGCTATGATAATGATTCTGATAGAATCATCCGTTGTTCCCTTGTCTGAATAAAATAAGATTTAAATTTGAATTTTTTAAAATTTTTATGCTGGCCGAGCGTTGCAAATCTACAGAACATAATTTACAAGCACCACCCGGAATGTTTACACTATGCATCCATCCATCCATCCATCCATCGATTGTTGAGTCACGCAATGACGTACGTAGTAATGCCTTGCACCCCATAACAATAGTGCAAACTTGACTTTGTCAACTTTGCACTAAAACGTATTTAAGCCTCCTGCTGAAGGTTGAGGACCGGGTATTGCTTGATGGGTGACCCGTATGCACTGCTAAACAACAACATAAAAACTGTATACATTATCATATACAATGCATTACTATGTGTAATTAAACAAAAACATCACTTGCCTTCAGAGGTAGTTTGAGATGGTGAACTTGCAGGTCTAGTGGAAACTGGAAATGTTCTTGTCACCTTTTTACTTCCATTATTATTTATCGAAATCGGTTTAGTAGGTTGATTTTCTAAAATCGTAAAAATATGTTTTAAACTATTGATGGTATGTCGATGATGATGAGATTGATGGTATGTCGGCCTACATCGTTATTGATGGTATGTCGGCCTACATAAGATTGATGGTATGTCGGCCTACATAAGATTGATGGTATGTCGGCCTACATCGTTATTAGGAGCTTAAGTGCAAGGGACGTTTTCGACAACACGAACAGCATGACTAACGTTAAAAGAATGGGTCAAGAATGTTGGTTGGTTGACTTTGTCAACTTTGTCAACTGTTGTGCTTCGTGGGTCTTCTCCAGGCACTCTGGTTTTCAAAAAGTTTCAGGGCCGCCCGAACCTCTCACAATGGTCATGCTTCCCACAAGCAAAGATGATTAGCCTCCCACCTACATCTTTCACTACACAAAACAGATCAGATCACAAACACTATACATAACTTCATCGTATACACTGCTAAACAACAACCAGGGGCGTAGGAAGCACCTGGAGTTTGGGGGGGCACCGGCTTGTAGGGGCACATTACTATCGGAAAGGGCACCTAAAAAATTTTTCCCGGAAATGTTGTCGACGGGGGGGGGGAGAGAAATTTCTCCTGAGGAAAATTTTCCGTCGTATCATACCGAAATTTATGTTTGTGACCTAATTTTTAAAAAAAATTTGTAAATTTCCACACAAAAACGGCACCTATTGTTTTAATTGAGTATTTACAGCGACATTAGCTTCTACAAAAGGGGCACTTTTCCTCACAAAAAAGGGCACTTTTCAACACAAAAAGGGCACTTTTTATCACAAAAAAGGGCACTTTTAGTCCTTTAAAAAAATTTGGGGGGGCACGTGCCCCCCGTGCCCCCCCGCTTCCTACGCCCCTGACAACAACATAAAAACTGTACACATTAATATGTACAGTACATCACCATGTAATTAGACAAAAAAATAACTTGCCTTGAGAGCTAGTTTGAGATGGTGAACTTGTAGGTGTAGTGGAAACTGTAAATGTTGTTGTCACCTTTTTACTTCCATTATTATCTATCAAAGTCAGTTTAGTAGTTTGATTTTCTAAGATCGTAAAATTATGTTATAAACTATACCACCGAATGATGAACTACGCAGAAACCCAGCTTTCCTGCTCTATTTTGTTAAAAATTGATGGTAAGTTGGCCTACATCGAGCAACAAAATGCTATAACTTGCAACAAAATCTGATTTCAACGCATGTTAATTGAAAATGTTTACACATAAATTCTAAAATTAAACGAGACTTACCTGTAAGTTGAAGTTTGATTGGAATTCTGTGACTTGTTATGCAGGAACAAGGGGATCACATGAGATTGCATAACAATTACCCAACATTCAGTCTTTAAAGAAACTGCCAAACATTGGTTTGTGGGCAGGGTTATACATAATAACATGAGGCGGGCTGTGATCCCCTTGTTCCTGCATAACAAGTCACAGAATTCCAATCAAACTTCAACTTACAGGTAAGTCTCGTTTAATTTTAGAATTCTATATCCTTGTTATGCTACGTCACAAGGAAATCACATGAGATTTTAAAGCCCAATGTTTGGGAGTGAAAACAGATAAACAAAGTGTATAAACAACAATGTAAATGCTGATAACATAAACTATACAAGCCTTAACATAGGCAATAGCTCAGAACAAAAACAATGTAATGTACTGTGAAACTTTTTAAATTACTGCCTTTAGACCTGCTTCAGCAAAACTTGCCCCATTTTCAACAAGTTTGTTATAGAATGTCTGAAAAGTTGCACAATTAGACCATCCTGCACTACTGAGTATCTCATCTATAGAAACTCCCGCTGTAATATATATAAGACAACCAGCATCGGTAAACTGTATATTCGTAATGTCCATTAGTGTTATTGTTTGTGTTCTTTGACCAGATAGCAATGCTATTAACATAACAAGTTTATGAGCATGTTCTTTAAGCGTGATTTTCTCAAGAGGGTATAATGTCTTGAGGCAAGTCAACACTAGGTTAACATCCCATGCATAGTGTTATGGCCAACAACACGAAGAATCTGCAAACCAGGGGATGCTGCCCCACAGGTATGTTCCCTGGTAATTGAATAATGGCAGATAATGCTGATCGAGCTGTATTCAAGCCACTATACTGAACTCCCTCATCATAGTACAGTAAAAAAGTCCAAAACATCAGTTAGAGAAGGAGAAAACGGATTAACTTGCCTTTCACTACAGAAAAGTGCCCATTTGTTGAGGTAAGTTTGGTACTGCTGGACAGTTTCGCTTCGCCATGATTTGATGATGATGTGGGCAGCTTGGTTTAAAATGCCTTGACTTTGGAATGATTTCCAGATAAGTGACATGCCAGTAGTCTGAGTTTCTGATGTAGTGGGTGCATCTTGTCCAGATTGTGATGTAAGTAAAGTAGACGTTGCATTTTGGGCAAAATCCGTGGGTGGTTGACCAACATTTGCATTGCCACAGGGTACCACGGTTGTGTAGGCCACAGGGGTATTATCAGTATACCCTCTGCTGATTCCTCCTGGATCTTTTGCAAAACTTTTGTTAACAGGCTAAAAGGAGGAAAAGCATAAAAGCTTTTAGTAGCCCAGTTCATGCTGAAAGCGTCAACTGCTACTGCCCTAGGATCTGGCTGCCAAGAGACATATTGCTCTAACTTCTTGTTAAGCCGGGATGCAAACAAGTCCACTTGGGGCTTAAAAATTTTGACACAGATCCTATCAAAAACTTAATCATTTAATGCCCATTCTGTTGGACATCAAATTGCCTGGATTTTTTATCTGCTTCTACACTACTGACACCTGGGATATGGGTTGCCGATACCCAGATGTTTTTCTGAATGTACCAAATCCACATTTGTCTTACTATTGCATTTCATTCTGAGGACTGGTTTCCACCCATATTATTCACATAAGCTACAGCTGTGGTATTGTCAAGAACAAAAAGACTGCAATGCTAAAAAAGGCTGCAGTTGTTTCTAACACATTAATGTGTGCCTTAGCTTCGGTTTCTCCCCATGGACCTCCTGCATGCTTTCCATCACTATAGGCACCCCAGCCTAATAGTGACGCATCAGATTTAATTACCATATCGGGCTGGCTGGCCAGAACAGGTTTGGAGGATGTCTCAATATTGGATATCCACCACTGTAAATCAGCAAGAGCATCTTGTGATAGGGTCATATTTGCTGCATAATTACCTTTATGCAGTTTAAGAGCTTGGGTTTTATCCCTTTCTAAAGCCCGATAGAATAGCTGTGCAAAGGTCACGGAGGGGAAACTAGCCACCATAAGGCCAATAACATGTGCACCCTCCTGAATTAAAGGTCTCCTCTTTGCTAACAAATTTATGCAAGCAGTTTGAAGCTTTGTGGCTCTTTCAGAGGTTAAAGAGACCGTCATGTCCTTAGAATTAAGGAATAAATAAAACAAGTTGTTGGGCAGGAATGGTTACTGACTTGGTCTGATGGGGAATAAACCCCAATGAATCAAACATTGTGGTTGTGTCATGGACATTTGTCTTACAACCCTCAAAGTTGTCATCCTGCAAGTACGGGTCATCAATATACCCGAAGGAGATGTGCCCCGTATTCCGCAGTGATGCATAGACTGGCTTCAAGATTTTTGTACAAATACGTGGCGCTGAGGCCAGACAATTTGGCAGGCATGTATAAAGATACAATTGTCCTCGCCAAGAAAATTTTAGATACTTCCTATGATTAGGGCATACTGGTACAGTATAATATGCATCCTGCAAATCAATAGAGGCCATGAAGCAGCCCTGTTTCATCAAATGTATTGCAGTATAAATAGTGTCCATCTTAAAGTGATGTTATTCAACGAATTCATTTAACCTTTTCAAATTTAAAATTACTCTAAAGGTCCCATCTTTTTTTGGGCGAAGAAAAATGGTAGAAATAAACTCTCCTGATCTTAGGTTAGTAGGCCAGCTCAATTACCCCTTTCATTAACTTGATGATTTCATTATCAACTATGCACTCCTCAGAACTACTGACAGTTAGCTCTTTAGGTGACTGCAATTGGAATGGTTTCATTAGAAACTCAATTTCCACTCCCTGTGTTGCTTTTAATATCCATTGGTCTGAAGTAATTTTTGACCAAGCAGTCTAAAAATGTTTTAGCCTACCAGCTGTGAAGGGTGGTATAGTATCATCATTAAATAAATATATGGTACTAACCTGTTTATCGAGTTTCACTGACTCTGTGGTTTGTAGTGGCTTCGGTCCCTTTTGTGACGTGGGAGGTTGTTTTGGGGCCTGAACCTCCCCCGTCCATTTTTTGAATGCCGATTAAAGTTGTTTTGGTGAGCATAGCTGGGCCAACGAGTAGGTGTTGCAGCCTTTTGGCTGACACGGTTTGTGGAAGCAATGTCCTGTAGTGTCTTGGCCACATCATCCCCAAAAAGCAATGTTGTAATCGGCACATGATCGCCACAGATTTGCTGAAATTTTTCATTCAAACCAGGCTTAATCAATGCTCGTCGCAGGCTATTGAGCTCTACATTTGCCTGAGCGACTAGGCTTACTGAGTCAAGTGCCGGCTTGATGATTTTTCCTTTATCAGTCGACCTATCATCCGATTGTCGACAATTTTCAAGGAGCTGAACTAATGGCAGTAGCCCTTTCAGCAAGAGGCTTTGTACTTTCTGGAGACGTATGTCCCGAGATCTGGTTGAAGATTGTAGTTGTGCCCAGATTTCTGGATTAACCCGAGTAGTTTCTAGTGATTCACAATTTTGCGGTCTGGGGTAAGCGTTTTGCTTTTCTTTAAGTTTTTCCTCGCTCAATTTTGAGCGCAGAGTTTTATTAATAACTTGGGCAAGCTTCTCGGACACATCAGGCCCCAACTGTTCTTCGTCCAGTTCTTGGACAACGCTGTCCAAAATTGCGCCAAACTCTTTTTCATTGTCATTGCCAGAGTTTTCCCCCTGGGGCTGGGACTCGGCAAGCAACACAGCTACGTCGTCGTTCTGTTCATCCTCGAGCCTTGCCCGTTTAGGGCTGGTTGTTTGGTCGCCGTCAGCCGAGTCCGGCGAGGAAGACCTTGATTTTTGGCGGGAGCGCTTGCCTCGTGATTTTTGTTGCATCAAATTTCGCCCTCGGAGTCGGCCATGTTGAGTCCGTGGACGATGCCTGGTAATCGCACTGAATCCTCGAGCAAAACCACCAAATTATTGGTTCAAATTGCTCCGGAACAGTTGGTTTCGCTTTTAAGCGTTCTTTTGTAACGAATTCAATTAAAATTTTAAATATTTTTCAATAATTTTGAGCACAGAATTTTCTGTACCCTCACTGAACGCCGAATTAGGTACGCACTGAATGTTGGGTAATTGTTATGCAATCTCATGTGATTTCCTTGTGACGTAGCATAACAAGGAAATAGAATTACAAATCACAAGGCAACGTGTGTCGATATTTTTACTTAACACGTGTTGAAATCAGATTTTGTTGCAAGTTGCAGCAATTTTGTTGCTCGTGTAACTCCAGCTTAAAAGAATGGGTCAAGAATGTTGGTTGGTTGACTTCGTCAACTTTGCACTAAAAAGTATTTAAGCCTGCTGCTGAAGGTTGAAGACCGGGTATTGTTGCTCGATGGGTGACCCTGAATCTGACTTAATGTATTTGAAAATTCACTTAAGTAGAGTTGTGGTTAGATCTCTGTTGTGCTTCGAGAGTCTTCTCCAGGCACTCTGGTTTTCAAAAAGTTTCAGGGCCGCTCGAATCTCTCACATGCAATGGTCATGCTTCCCACAAGCAAAGATGATTAGCTTCCCACCTATATCTTTCACTACACAAAACAGACCAGATCACACACACTATACATAACTTCACCGTATCCACTGCACCACATTACATAAAAATTGTGTCTGTAGACATTATTATATATACAATGCATCCTTATATGTGCTGTATAATTAGACAAAAAAACATCACTTGCCTTCAGAACTAGTTAGAGATGGTGAACTTGCAGGTGTAGTGGAAACTGTAAATGTTGTCGGTTTAGTAGTTTGATTTTCTAAAATCGTAAAAATATGCTATAAACTATACCACCGAATGATGAACTACGAAGATACCCAGCTTTCCTGCTCTATTTTGTTAAAGATTGATGGTATGTCGGCCTACAGCGACGTTTTCGACAACAAGAACGGCATGACTAACGTTAAACGACTGGGTCAAGAATGTTGGTTGGTTGCAAACGTCACATTTGCTTCCGGTCAACGTTTCTGTTGTCAAAAATGTCGCTTCCTTAAGCTCACTATTAGTACACAAACGATTCACCTCCTGAAAGACATGAAATCATGAGAGAGATATCATCAATTGCAATGTCTCCCTTGATATCTTTACCACGTACACCTTCGATTACATACTGCAAGAAAAGTAGAAAAGTAAGGTCGTTTCCGTTCACTAGTAGATCAGAAATATTTAGCATTTGAACTAGCAGGTATTTCTAATTCTATATACACTTACAGGGTCTTAGCTAGAAGGCCGTGTTGGCCGTGTTGTCACGGTAAAAATTGAAAAACACGGTGAGATAAAACGAACACGGCTTTATTAAATAATTAATGTAAAGCCGTGTAGCCATTGTAAGCTATAGTTGGATTCAGTTATATTTTGGTGCTCACTGGTCTACATGCTCACCTGATATGACGCCGTTTGATCGTTCACTGTCACTTGTGCTGGATTCCACTTGTCACCTTGGTTTCCAGAAAGACTCCACATAAAATCCATCTTACCCCCAGATTTCACGTAGACCTAAAATTATACATGTATACATTTATCAGTGTATGAATGTGTTTCAGCTCACGATAGAAGAGCCTAAAATAGCGGGCGAACATTTCCCGACAAAATTACAATTTTTCCGATCAAATGACAAATTGGCCAAACATTTGTTCAAACAAAAAATATCAATCAGTTTTCAAATTAGTATCATTATCATTTAAACTATACTGTATAGTGTATGGCATAAAGTAATATTTATATACTGACGTACGGATTTACCCAATGGATGCCGTTGTCACAGAAAATTTGCCCCCTCCCCTTCAGAACATCGTAAAATATAAAAATCGAATATTACTCTAATTGCTGTTAATTGCTAATTGCTGTTAACTACTCTTAGCATGAAGTATTGCGTTTGCGTGTTTCCAGTCTCTTTGGCCGAGTTATGTATGGTCGAGATTTCGATTTGTCAATCTGTCTGTAAAGATGGCGTAATTCTGAGAAAATAATTAATTATTCAGGAGGTTTTTCTAAAAGATGGTGGAGGTCAAACTTTATTTTGGGTTGCGCACGCTTGATTCTTCTCAGGTATGTTTGATTTTCACGATGCAAACGATCGACAAATGTATTTTGAACAATTCAGGTAAGGATAGCTTTATTTTTTTCTGGCATACCATGTCAAGCGGTTTGGAAAATCTAATACTCGAGAACCGATAACCAGCCCCATAGAAATGCCCAAGGGTCGTTTTCCCGAAATTGAGGTAGTAAGATCAACAAAAGCATCGGTGGTGATACCAAAACACGACAAGATATTCGCGGTTCACGGTATTCCAAGAATAATTAAGACAAATAACGGATAGCGTCGGTACGCTATGTAGAAACATTGGGAACCAGACTTGAATTCTCAACCCATTATGGCGTCAAAGCAACGCCGAAGCGGAACGGTTCATTCAAGTACTCGGTGAGGCGTTGAAAACAGCAAACATACAACAACGACCTTAGAAGCAGGAACTGGGTCGTTTCTTGCTACATTATACCGATCATCGCCGCATTGCGCAACGGGAGTACCACCGGCAGAACTTTTATTTAACCGAACTGTTCAGGCTATATAGGACAATTATCCTTATTATCTCAGTGTCCTAAACAAGGATATCTTGAACAGACACAAAGAAGCTCAACACAACGAAAGGAAAAGAAAAAAGTACAACGAGATATATGATGCTCGAAAGCACAAGTTAAAGGAAAGTGAACTAAATCTCGGAGATCATGTACTTGCTCGTCAAGAACGAAAAAATATACTGACTTCAACTTTTAAACCCATACCTTACGTTGTAACCAAACACGAGCATTCACGTGTGATAGCACGAAACCAAAACGGACATGTTATAGGCCTAAACACGAAACGTGTCATACTTCAAACGAATACCAAAACCGATGAACACCGATACGGATATTGATAACGAAATAAATCTAGACCGTCCGGACAATATAATCGAAAGAGGCAATGCAACGAATAACGCAAATCAAGCTGAGGTGGCAAACGAACTAGTATGGAAGATCAAGAAGAATACGAGGCAAACCAGACAGATTTGGACAGTCTGTACAAGACTTGTAGTATAATATTATGAACTACTTTGTTGCGTTTAATTTTGTTCAGGGGGTGATGTAGTAAACAATGACGTAATGGACATTAAATAATGCCTTATATGGACACAATAACATTTGCAAAAATATATGCTGAGATAGTCAAAGTATTGAGAAAGAGAGCGATTGAGGCCCAGTTCCTGGTCCAAAATACCTGAAGTTTACCCACCCTAGTGCTGTACATGTGATAAAAAATGTTATTTCAGGCTCTGTGGAAACGAAAGTACTCGATACGTCGAGAGAATATTAGACGGTTACGAAAAGATAAGGATTTATGTTCTCGTGTCGCAACCGTTTAATGTTATGTTTAATATATGGACTTATTCAGAGTTACAAAAATACACGCAAAGACGACATGTAAATAATGCGCCGATCAATTTACACTGTTAACACTCCCCCCCCCCCCCTGGGCATTTAACACTTTGCTTTATCCCCGCAGTGGAGAATTTGACCTTTTGAAATGCTGTTATAGGGTAGGGCATTTGATGCTGAGTCACAAGACATGGGGCATTTGACCATTTAATACACCAGATTACGCGAGGTTTAAGACTATTAAAAAACTTTTTTAAAACAAAATTCAAAATAGAGTTTACTACAAATACTTTTTGGAAGCTTTATAAAGCATGAGGTGTAAGTTGTTTAATACTACTATACGTTTAATAAGTGTCTTATTTATTAAACTGTTGAAGTTATACAGGTGTATGTACTACAGAATACCGCAAAAATTTACATGTTCTATATCTTTTGTCTAATATATATAATATGCATGACCATCAACTTTCCGTTATGTGGGGCATTTGAACAGCATTTTTGTCCTGGGAGTGGAAAATAGGACCACAAAACTTCAAAACGTTCAAATGCCCAGGGGTATGCCTGGGGAGGATGTTAACAGTGTAAATTGATTGACGCATAAGCACGCGAAAGACCAGTATAAAAATGATATTTTTTTTAAATTATAGTGTGGACTAAAACTAGAATAAATTTTACATATCTGAAGATGTCTTTTAAATGTATTTGTTTTATTTCCAACGTTAACTTCGTTTTATATAAATAATTTGTATTTTCAAAACAACAATAATTTAATAATAATAATAATTTATTAATTTGTACCGAGCTAAAACTATAGAATATTCTAAAGCGCTTAATTACATAAAATAGGAAGCTAATTTAAAAGTTTCCCTACGTTATTTACACAACATTTAACAACTATAAGCATCTATTTAAAAATATTTAAAAACAAGAAGTATTATTAATGTACGCATCTCTATACAAAAATGTCTTAAGATTTGTCTTAAAAGATTCCAACGAAGGTGAAAGCCGAATCTCACATGGTACTAAGTTCCATAGAGTAGGTCCTGCTTTCAAAAAGGCACGATCACCAAAAGACTTTCTACGTGTGCTTGGAACATGAAGAAGCCCTATTTCGTCCGATCTCAAAGTGTGGTTATTACTTTGTCAACATGTCACAAATATATTTGGGAGCCAATCCATGCAGAGCTTTATAAACCAACAGTACGATCTTGAATATAACACGATATTTAACCGGTAACCAACGCAGTCTCATCAATGTAGGTGTAATGTGATCAAACTTAGGTACAAGGCATACAACACGAGCAGCAGCGTTTAGCACTTTCTGCAATCGATTTAATTGATATTTTGGAATTGCAATAATCCAAATGAGATGTAATAAATGCATGAACTAAAATTTTGGTAGCATCGTCAGTTAAGTATTTCCTGATTTGTTTGATATGGTAAAGGCTTCGAAAGGCCTTGCTGCAGATTTTGCTAATATGCAAATTCATGGACATTTGAGTATCTAACCAAGACCCAAGATCACGAACAGCGCCAACTGGAGAAATCAATACTTCTCCTACCCTCAATTTGTCAATCGATACCTTGGATAATTGCTGACGAGAGCCAATAATAATAAATTCTGTCTTGCTACTTTGAATAAAAAGACGATGTGCAGACATCCAGTTTCGAAGCTCATCAATACAATCTTCCATTGCTTTAACAGCTGACTCCTGATGCAATGAGTTCTGAGGTTTAAAAGAAAGATACAATTGTGTGTCATCTGCATAAGCATGATGACAAGGCAGATGTTTAGAAATAATCTCAGAAAGGCCAGACACGTAAAGTAAAAATAGAACAGGACCCAGGCAGCTGCCTTGGGAACTCCAGTAGCAACCATAAACTCAGAGGACTTACACCGATCAATGACAACTTTCTGCTTTCTATTAGCCAGATACGATCTAAACCACTGAAGTGCGCTGTCCACTACTCCGAAATCATTCTTGAGGATATCAATAAGAATATTATGGTCTATAGTGTCAAAGGCAGCACTCATGTGGAGCATAACAAGCAACGTAACCTATTCGTTGTCCATATTAATAAGTATGTCATTCTGCACTTTAAGCAGCGCAGTTTCAGTTGAATGGAACTGACGATATGCTGATTGACTGACAGGCAGTAGTGCAATTTCGTTACAGTGATTAACTAATTGCGACATGACAACTTTCTCAGCTACCTTTGCAAGAAAATGAAGATTATTAACAGGTCTAAAATTTTCAAACACTAAATCCATACCAAGTTTCTTAAGACGGGAATCTACAAGTGCCAATTTCCAATTTTCAGGAACTATTCCTTTCTCCAGCAACATGTTGATCATTTTTGTAATTATCGGACAACAATGAAAATGGCGGAAAATTGTCACTCGCAAGGGTGAAATGCGGAAAATACGCGCATCTGGTCCCAGATATAGTGACGCATGAGTCTACGAGTGTTTTAGTTTCCAGTAAAACACCATTGTCCATATAATAAAGTAAAGTAAAGTATAGTATAGGTTTGTTCTTTGTTCACTGAATCTTCACTACCGATAAGGGATGTTTATGTATCACTATGATACTATGTTTATGTATGTTGACCCTGTCACCTGATGCCATGATACTTGCATGTGTACTGTTTGGGAGAGTTAATAAATAAATAAATAAAAATAAATACCCGAAGTTCACCCACGCCAGCGCCGTACATGTGGTAAAAAAAGTGGAGACAGGATTTGGCTTTTGTTGTCGATGGCGAAATCAATCGAGCTTTGTTGTTCGGTTTCCTTTGCGAGGCTTCGATGTATAAATACCAACCGGATGCTGAAAGGAGAAACGTGATGTTGGTTAAGCATGAAAAAATGTAAAATTAAAAAAGGCTGCAGGAAAGTGAAGCTAAGTACATGGTGTTTAAAGCCTCTTTTCCATTCATCTCAACAGTCAACTCGCAAGCTCACTGCGAGCGCGCTTTCAACCAATCACAATGCTCGAATTATTTTAATTAGATTCAAACACTCGCAGCGAGCTTGCGACTTGATTTTTGCGACGAGTGGAAGGAAAGAGCCTTAAGGGAGTTCCTTATTTATGGGGGAAGGGGGCATGGCACCAAAGAGAAAAGGGTTGGGTAAACAAAATTTTGAGTGAGTAAAAGGCTGGGCAATAAAGAATTATTGTCATCTCCAAAGCATGAAGACTCGCCGGAATTTCCTAGGAATTCATTGCCAGATACCCCTGGCAAATGGCTTTAATCGCGGACCATCCTCTGAATTTTGGTCTCTAATCACCCCACTCCCTGGACTTCTGCATGCGGTCTTTTTCACCCCTCCCCCTGGATTTTTCAAGGCCTTTTTTTAGAACTCCCCCTGGAGGAGAGTCACTATCTTGATCATTTTCCGATTTGTCTCCCAAGAAAGTACATGTGCAAAAAACATGAAACTTTAGATTGCAGAAAATTGCACAAGCAGTTATCAAACTCATGTCACACAAATGGTAAAGGCCTACTAAAGGGCATGTGTGACAATTGAATGGTACCCTGCTCTAACGTTTTTGGCCAGGGATGGGTATTTATCTTTTAAATGATATTTGAGGTTGAGTAAACATTTTTTGACTTTTTAATGGTTGGATCAGCAAAATGTTTAACTCCCGCCATAAATAATGACTGGTCCAGTGGCGCCGTGGCCGGGGCATGCCCCCCAATTGTTGAGACTCGTCGGAAAATTGGTAATGTTGTCGGAATCTTCATGGTCAAGCAGGGCCGCCAAGTGCTAATTCGGAAAAGGTGCTACGAAAGCAATGGACCTTTCACCTTTTGACTAAAATTTAGATTTCAACAAGTCTAGACAAAAATTTTATCACAGCTTGAAAGAGCATCACAAAATTAGTAATATTCCGAAGTTTCGTTGCGAAATATTTTAAAATGCGGATAATATAGCCTTGCGAAGTTTGCAATTTTCAGTCATTTTGTATTACAAACGGGAAATACATACCCTTTTCCCGAAGGAGGTATGTATTTCCCGCGCGTAATACAAAATGGCTGAAAATGGCAAACTTCGCAAGGCTATATTATCCGCATTTTACAACATTGTAACGTGCTTTTCCGGAAAATTTTTTGACAAGAAAGTTGTCGACGGGGGTGGGGGGGTGTAGTGGAGGGAGGAGGGAGAGAGAGATAAATTAAAATGTTTTTGTCCGGAAAAATACTGACTTTGCCCCCCCCCCCCTAATACATGAGACCCACGGCGCCACTAGACTGTTACATACCTTTCTGTAGGACAAATATCAGAAAATTTTCAGCTATCTTTCAAGCTCTGAAATTTTTAATACTCTGATGGTATAAATAAAGTTGGTATAGTTTATAGGTTTCTTCCTATAGTAAGAATGGGTCAATAAGGAATAACCCTTACTGGAACTCTAGGAAGAACAGTTTAAAATCGATACAGTTCTTTGGCATGTAAATGTCATACAGTTTTCCATCACCTTCTACTTTTCCCATGACAATTCACGTGAGATAGTCCAGTTATATAAAGCACTGAGAGACACTTACTGGGCACAAACACGAAGACATTTTGTGGTTGATCACAGATTGAGTCAAGCACGAGTTTTATATAAATTCCTTGCGCCCCTCTAGGCTTAACACACATTTTCTTTTTGTACTGCAGTGATCCTTGGGCAGTCCAACTCCACGTGTCTGTCGCATCACAACTGCTGAAAATACCCACCTTTAAAAAAAGAGGCAGATAAATATGTAGTTAGGCAGGTTAGGTTAGGTTAGGTTAGGTTAGGTTAGGTTAGGTTAGGTTAGGTTAGGTTAGGTTAGGTTATAATTAGGTTAGGTTAGGTAAGGTACGTTAGGTTGGTAGGGTATCCAGTGAAAATAAAGTCAGTAGAGATTAACACATTGAAACAAGAAATATATCACAAAACTAGTTTACCAACCTTCACTTCATCAGTCACCGGACCAGTAGGTTTCACGCACATGCTATATTTATTAGTAAGCATCAGTGTCCCATTCGGCCAGAGTCGGAACTCCTACCAGTCATGTCCACATCCTTGGTATGTCACAAGGGATTCTCCTTCTTTTGGTCTTTTGTTGTAAGAGCCCAATAAGTAATGAATACACTTGCCTCCGCTATGTCGTATGAAGCCGGGACCTTGCTTCTTGTTTACAGGGTCTATAGAATAAAAAATATTATGAAATTTGAGGACTTCAAATGAGCGATGTTATCCCAAAACTTACTTTTAGCTAAATTTGTCTATATGATAGAAATTTTATACTAGTAGATATGATGGTGTGTATTTATGTTGGTGAAAGTAAGAGTTCGTTATGGTTATGATGGTTACGACGATGGTGATGAAAACAATGGTGGAGGTGATGGTGGTGCTCATGATGAATGGGGCATGATGATAATTACTATAACAATCCAGTCAATCCCTCAATTGGACAACTACCGGATATGAAATATTCTGAAATTTGATTGGCTCTCTACTGGCAAGATATTAGCTCATATCCACCCAGTAGAAAAAAAAGAAAGATGGTGGCTGAAAAATCACCAGTTATTCGCTTTTTATAGCATCAACAGGAATAAAAACACAATGAAAATACTTCCAGTAATTGTTTACGGGTTACCAAATAAAATTTTAGTAGTTAAACTATAGTTAAAACTTTTTATTTATTAATTTTTTCTAACCACTGTGTAAAAAACCATAAAAATGTTTCGTGTGACGACAAGTTCTTAGCCTGCGCATGTGCGGAATATTGTAGTTAAAGGCATACGAAAGAGCCGTTAGTTTATGAAAGTTTGTAGTTGAAGGCATACTCTTTTTCGTTTGCACATATAATTAAATCAGGTCGATATCGTCAGTTTACTTTGGTGGTTCATATATTTGGTTCAGTGCATACTACCATCCGATTCAGTGAAACAATCCTATTGATGGTTTTAGTAAAATGTAAACATTATAGCGATGTACGGTCTTTGGAGGTGAAGCGATACCATATTTCACACAATTTCCCCGAACAAATATGCAAACAATTTATTACCAAGGCATGCCTTTTGCCGATAACTTCGGCCTCTTTCAACATATATTTATCGTAATAGTCTTGTTTGTATCACAATCAAAGACACTATTTAGAGTGTTATTTTCAAGCTTGTATCTACAAATTTGCATCTTTTATTTCGGTATTTCAGAATATCTAAATTTTTAGCGAGAGCTTCGACCGGAAATTTGTCTAAACTTAAAAGCCTTAAATATATAAGAATTTCAAGTTTTCAGCAATGGTTGAAGTATTATTTAAGGTTACAGAACACCTTTGAGTGTTAATTTTGCCTAAAATATTTTTATTGATTTTCATGAAAGCATTAGATTAGTTCTACTACTGTATCTGACAAGTTTGAACGAAAAATGTTGAAAACTCGCAGAGTTACTTAATAAATTAATAAAATACATTGGAAAACAACTCAAAAGCGTAAAGGTACTGCGATTTGAGATTTTCCTGAATAATTCTTACATTATTTTATTGATTGTCAATTTTACAACGTTCCCATATTTTGCATGCACTGGTGAACATTTGGTAAAAATTTGATTAAAATCGGGCTGATATTGAGCGCGCATGCATGCAGTAGCGATTTTCCGTAAAACGCCAAAAAGGTGTTCTGTAACCTTAAAGAAATAGCAGCAGTGGTTTATCAGGTTTAGGGAAAGTTGTGTTGATTGCTAAACTTAGACTATCGAAATATTGCCATACAAGTGATTGTGTGAATTCAGTAGTTGTCTACATAATAAAACAGTTATTCTACTTATTCTCTACTATTCAAACAGATAGCCAACTCAGTGCTACGCACCTCGTCGTTTATCAGCTCATGTACGACTCGAGTTCACAGAATAACTTTTAATTATCCATCTTCGGTAAAACAATGCAATGTTTTTTTTAAAAATTGAAATATAATATACTTCAACTAAAAAATGAGTCAATACACAAGAATCTTTAAATAAAAAGTCAGCAGATATAGAACTTATGATGATAGTGATGGTGGTGATATCGGTGATGATGGTGTTTGTAGTGGAGATGTTGATACTTATGGGTGGTGATAATGCTGGTGAACAGGTGATAATGATAGCGCTGATAGTAGTGATAATGATGGTGAATATGGTGATAAAAGTGATGCTGATGTTATCTCAGTCAACAGAATATAACACTTACCCACACTCTTGGTATGATCTGTTAGTGGACCAGTGTCAGATGTTTTTGTAAAACCTTGATGTCTGGTCCAACTGAAATCATCACTGGAATCTTGAGTCCATTGGCAACTGTTAGGAACTTCAAAGTTGCAGGAGAATTTGTCAATCTCTAAAGATAAAAACACTTAAAAGTCCATACATGTCCAATACTGTCGACGTGATACGGATCGTGAAGCAGCTTCACGATCCGTCAAATTCGTACGGACCCCGTACACACGAGTGACAATCCGTATCAGCAAACGAAAACATTCTGTTACGTCTCGATTTATTTGAGAAGCCATATCACAACTCGAGCTCGTGTCTCACCGGGATATCCTAACACTCGAAAACAATGTATGAAAACACTCGCGCTTCGCGCTCGTGTTCTCATACATTGTTTTCTCGTGTTTGGATATCCCGGTGAAACACTCGCTCTCGTTGTTCATATATTACTTCAAATCCGACTATGAAAACGAAACAAGATTTCAAGTCCTCGCAATTTGATCAAGTTCGAGGCGAAGCCGAGGACTGGATCAAAATGCGAGGACTTGAAATCTAGTCCAGTCCGAATTGGAGGATTTGAAATGACATCTCATGCGCATAAATCACTATTTAATTAATTTTGACCCAGTCCTAAGACTGGATCAATGCACTTCATTAGATATCCAGTATTATCATGTGAGCAAAATAAAGCAATATGGTTGGCTAATTTACTCATGAATTATTGGTATATAGCGCTTCCGCGAACTGCCTCTGTTGTTGAGCTTGATTTTTCCCTCGATTTTTCCCGAGAAAGAAAGGAAGTTGAAAATGTTATCAAAAGTTTCACTACATCAGTTTATTTTCAAAACTTTTTTTGAGGATGAGAGTTGCATGGCTCAAGTCACACATTGTTACGCGGGGAACATTTCAAGCTCTAGATTAAGTGATTAACAAAATAAAGATTTAATGATTGTTCCAACTATGTTTCAACTTAAATAGAGTACATGATAGTGTTGGGAAGGCATTAAGAACAGCCAACCAAGATCACGTGACTGCCAACTCTCATCCAGACTTAAGGCCGTTTTCCACTACACATGTAGAGGCCCATTTCCACGCAGGAAAATTTTCCGCAGAAAGAAAATTTTGTAAAATGTGATTGACCGACACAAATTTTCTGTCCATGGAAATTTTTTTTTAGTGGAATTTACGCGTGTAGAATTGCTCATTTGTACACATCTTATAATTACCTGCATGTTTGCTGTAACATTGCTTTACGTGGTCAGACGTGGTATTGTATTTGTGCTAAATCCACCAATAGCAACTTCCAATTTACCATATATATTGTTTGAGTAATGATAGGTAACTTTCCTAAAACATAATGCTATTGGTTAGTTGGGCAAAAATACAATACGCATCCATGTGACGGTGAAGGACCAGATTTATGAATAAATCGGTTGACTAATAACCAGAGCTAACACACATAATAAGTTTCACAGCCATCTTCCCCTTGATAGGCTATGGTTATACACATGCAC